ACAATTTGAATTTTGGGTGAACCAATAGAGCTAGAATCATGAAATTTGGAGTCAGGATCATTGTTGAGGTGTAAGATTGAGATATGTAGGGAGTTTTAACAATTTGTACTAATGTGTACTAAATTTGGTACAATTTAAATTGTGGGTGAACAGATGGAATTGGAATTCTGAAACTTAGATTTAGGATCACTGTGGGGGTGTAAGATTGAGAAATGTAGGAAGTTTTAAAAATTTGTACTAATGTGTACTAAGTTTGGTACAATTTGTATTGTGGGTGAACCAATGGAATTGGAATCCTCAAACTTGGATTTAGGATCACTGTGGGGGTGTTGGTTTGAGTTAAGTACGAAGTTTTGGAAATGCGTACTACTGTGTACTAAATTTGGTACAATTTGGATTGTGGGTCAACCGATAAAGTTGGAATCCTGAAACTTTCTTTTAGGATCACTGTGGGGGTGTAGGATTGGGGTATGTAGGAAGTTTTGGAAATTGGTACAACTATGTACTAAATTTGGTACAATTTGAATTGTGGGTGAACCGATAGAGTTGGAATCCTGAAAATTGGATATAGGATCACTGTGGAGGTGTAGGATTGGGGTATGCAAGAAGTTTTGGAAATTGGTATTACTGTGTACTAAATTTGGTACAATTTGCACTGTGGGTGAACCGATAGAGTTGGAATCCTGAAAATTGGATTTAGGATCAATGTGGGGGTGTAGGATTGGGGTATGCAGAAAGTTTTGGAAATTGGTACTACTGTGTACTAAAGTTGGTACAATTTGAATTGTGGGTGAACCGATAGAAATGGAATCCTGGAACTTAATTTTAGGATCGCTGTGGAAGAGTAGGTTTGAGTTAAGCAGGAAGTTTTGGAAATGCGTACTACTGTGTACTAAATTTGGTACAAATTGAATTGTGGATGAACCGATAGATTTGGAATTCTGGAACTTGAATTTAGGATAACTGTTGGGATGTGGGTTTGGATTAAGTAGGAAGTATTGGAAATTCGTACTATTGTGTACTAAATTTGGTACAATTTAAATTGTGGGTGAAACATAGACTTGGAATACTGAAATTTGAATTTGGAATCATTGTGAGGGTGTAGGATCGGGGTATGCAGGAAGTTTTGTTGGATGGTTGAGGTTGATACTCTTGGAAATAACGTGTGCTAAATTTGGTACAAATTGAATTTGGGTGAACCTGTAGTGCTCGAATCATGGAATATGCTACTAAATGGTACTCAAATTTAATTTATGGTCGATATTAATGTGTGGATTGCTTAGTTTTCTGACATACGCAGTTTTCTGTGAAAATAAAATAATATGTTAGTACATGTTTAAATATATCCCATATTCGCTACCGAAGTAGCGGGTATATGCTAGTAAAGAATATTTTTTCAAGGACCTACACAAGGCGTGTATTTATTAAAGAATTTTTTTTCAAGGACCTACACAAGGCGTTGATTTATTAAAGATTTTTTTCATGGACCTACACAAGGCGTGGATTAATTAAAGAATTTTTTTTTCATGGACCTACACAAGGCATGGATTTATTAAAGAATTTTTTTCATGGACCTACACAAAGCGTGGATTTATTTAAGATTTTTATACCCTTCACCACTCTGTGGTACAGGGTATTATGTCTTTGTGCATATGTTTGTAACAGGCACAAGGAAACGAGACAGACACATGGTTCCTTTTGAGAATATGCATAGACTCACTTTCTGAGTCGATTTATGCATGTCCATCCGTCCGTCCGTCTGTCGATGTAAAATTGTAAACAAAGTACAGGTCGCATTTATAATCCGAATTGGATTAAATTTAACATAGGTCACTTATTTGGGCCAAGGACGAACCCTATTGAAATTGGGAAAAATAGGTTCAGATTTAGATATAGCTCCCATATTAATTTAACCGATTTAATGTAAACGGTCCCTATATATCTTTCGATTTGCACGAAATTTAGTACAGCCTAATCATTTAGGTCTAGAACGATGTATGCCAAGTTTCGTAAAAATCGGCCCAGATTTAGATATAGCTCCCATATATAGTTTCGTCCGATTTCATGTAAATGGTGCCCCAAAGTCCCTATATATCTTTTGATTTGCACGAAATTTGGCATAACGTACTGAATTAAGCCTAGAATGATGTCTGCCAAGTTTTGAGAAAATCGGTCCAGATTTAGATATAGCTCCCATATATAGTTTCGTCCGATTTCATGTAAATGGTGCACCAAAGTCCCTATATATCCTTCGATTTGCACGAAATTTGACATAACGTACTTAATTGAGCCTAGAATGATGTCTGCTAAGTTTCGAGAAAATCGGTCCTGATTTAGATATAGCTCCCATATATAGTTTCGTCCGATTTTATGTAAATGGTGCCCCAAAGTCCCTATATGTCTTTCGATTTGCACGAAATTTGGCATAACGTACTGAATTGAGCCTAGAGTGATGTCTGCCAAGTTCCGAGTAAATCGGTCCAGATTTCTATATAGCTCCCACATGTAGTTTCGTCCGATTTCATGTAAATGGTGCACCAAAATCGCTATATATCTTTCGATTTCCACGAAATTTGACATAACGTACTTAATTGAGCCTAGAGTGATGTCTGCCTTGTTTCGTGAAAATCGGTCCAGATTTAGATATAGCTCCCTCTTATTATAGATTGATTTTAAGTAATTGACGCACCAAGGAACCAACAGGAACAAAACGTTCTAAAATTAGTATAACCTATCCTGTGACAAGTTTGTTTGAAATCGCTTAATATTTGGATAGAGCTTCCATATATATTTTCGCCCGATTTCAAGTAAATTGGCCATCAAACTCCTCATGTTAGTCAGATTGACATCATATTTTGCACAACGTACAAAATTGAGCATAGAATTACGTAGTTTTTTTTCTGGATGTACAGACATAGCCCAACGGATGACCTATTTATATTTGTTTGAAGACGATTTACATACTTTATAGATAGATCTAGGTAGATTTACATTTATATAAATATCACATATTTTATTTCATCCAATTTCATGTTAATAGTCCTTTTAAGTATACCCATAGTGGTGAAGGGTATCATATAGTCGGCCCCGTCCGACTTTACTACTTTCCTTACTGGTTTTTCATGAACCTACACAAGGCGTGGATTTATTTAAGAACATTTTTCAAGTACCATCCATCCGCATTAAATATTTTACCCTCTTCTTCCCTCCATCATTCATTGTATCCTACCAGAAAATGTGCACAACTTTGAATTGGATTTAAGAAAATTTTAGACCAAATTGAAATAAATTTGTTGGTGTGTGTGTCTGTATTAAGGAAACTAAATTTAACACATATACCCTTACATACATCTAACCACACACACATTTATATTATTTTCTTCCAACAAAAAGGGACACAATAAAATTAAATATTTTTCTTTCGTTTACAGAAAGACTGTGTGACAAGGTCATTGTTAAATCGGCCTATCTTTTATTTTCTGTCGATTTAAAAGTATTTTTCTCATTAGATGCGGACAACAATGTTGTTTAGCAAACGTGACTAGATTGCTAGCATTCATCTTGGACTGTCAAATTATCGTTGTTGGTCGAAGGGTCAGGTTCAGTCAATTTTTAACGAACCCTAAATGACATTTTCACCTGACCTTTTTTGTGATTTGGTTTGATAAAGTCTTTTGAGGGTAGGATTTATAGAGGATTGTTCTGTTTTTCTTAAATAAATTATTATCGTGTTTAAATTTAAGTAATTGGGTTTCGGTTTTTGTGTCGATTCTATTATACTTTTTATTTCATTTTTTTTTTAAGAAAAAAATTAAATCATAAACTCATTAAAATAGGCAGAAAATTAAGAAAAAAATTCAAGGACTATGTATGGATTTTTCAAAAAAAATATTTTTCGAGGACTATCCAAAGGCGTAGATTTTTTAAAAAATATTTTTCAAGGACTATCCAAAGGCGTGGATTTTTTAAAAAATATTTTTCAAGGACTATCCAACGGCGTGGATTTCTTAAAAAATATTTATCAAGGACCATCGAAAGGCGTGGATTTTTTAAAAAAATATTTTTCAAGGACTGTCCAAAGGCGTGGATTTTTAAAAAAATATATTTTTCAAGGACTATCCAAAGGCGTGGATTTAAAAAAAAATATTTTTCAAGGACTATCCAAAGGCGTGGATTTTTAAAAAAATATATATTTTCAAGGACTATCCAAAGGCGTGGATTTTATATAAAATATTTTTCAAGAACTATCCAAAGGCGTGGATTTTATATAAAATATTTTTCAAGGACTAACCAAAGGCGTGGATTTTTTAAAAAATATTTTTCAAGGACTATCCAAAGGCGTGGATTTTTTTAAAAAAATATTTTTCAAGGACTATCCAAAGGCGTGGATTTTTTAAAATATATTTTTAAAGGACTAACCAAAGGCGTGGATTTTTTGAAAAATATTTTTCAAGGGCTATCCAAAGGCGTGGATTTAAAAAAAATATTTTTCAAGGGCTATCCAAAGGCATGGATTTAAAAAAAATATTTTTCAAGGGCTATCCAAAGGCGTGGATTTAAAAAAAAATATTTTTTCAAGGGCTATCCAAAGGCGTGGATTTAAAAAAAAAATATTTTTCAAGGGCTATCCAAAGGCGTGGATTTAAAAAAAAATATTTTTCAAGGGACATTCAATTTTTAAAAATTATAATATATATAGGGCCATATCCTCTTTTATTCCTCCAAGGACGACTAAATCCTATATAAAAAATGCAAATGACAATTGTACTATAGATTGTTCTTAAAAAAACTCTTCTTTAAATAGTTTTGTACCACAAATGCAATTGAACTAATTTTCTATCGCAGATTTTTTCTTTTCTATTTTCCATTTGTCTGGATAATGTTCCACGGCAACGCTTTGGTTATTCGTTCAGCAATTTTCTCTGCTGTTCTTTGATTCTATTTCTTACACTTGAATGAATTGTTATTGTTTTTGTGATTTTTTTTTCTCTTATGCCCATTTTGTTTTCTTTTTCTATTTTCTTGCAGACAGAACAATTTGCCGTTCTATGGATTCTATTCACCATCATTGTCCTGGGCAACTCGGCGGTATTGTTTGTCATGTTTATGAATAAAAATCGCAAGTCACGCATGAACTATTTTATAAAACAATTGGCACTGGCAGGTAAGTCAAGTTTGAAAAAACAAAAAATTAAAAAAAATCATGTTTTTGATTTCTATTAAAATTTAATTTGAAATTGAATTTAAGAAAAAAATGTTTAGTTTTTGTGTAAAAATTCAAAATAAGTCAAATAAAAACTTTATTAAATACCTGATATTATATTTTTCGACCTATTACTTATAATAATTTTTTTTTTTTTAATTTTTTTCAGACTTATGTGTGGGTCTGCTGAATGTCCTCACCGATATTATCTGGCGCATTACGATATCCTGGCGTGCAGGAAATATTGCCTGCAAAATTATACGTTTCTCTCAGGTGTGTGTGACGTACTCCTCCACTTATGTTCTGGTGGCCATGAGTATCGATAGATATGATGCCATAACGCATCCGATGAATTTTTCTAAATCATGTAAGTACACAAATAATAAATCCACGCCTTGCGTAGGTCCTTGAAAAATATTCTTTAAGAAATCCACGCCTTGCGTAGGTCCTTGAAAAAATATTCTTCAAGAAAGGTCTTTGAAAAAATATTCTTCAAGAAAGGTCCTTGAAAAAATATTCTTTAAGAAATTCACGCCTTGTGTAGGCCCTTGAAAAACAATCTTTAAGAAAGGTCCTTGAAAAAATATTGTTTAAGAAAGGTCTTTGAAAAAATATTCTTCAAGAAAGGTCCTTGAAAAATATTCTTTAAGAAATTCACGCCTTGTGTAGGCCCTTGAAAAATAATCTTTAAGAAAGGTCCTTGAAAAAATATTCTTTAATAAATCCACGCTTTGTGTAGGTCCTTGAAAAAATATTCTTTAAGAAATCCGCGCCTTGTGTAGGTCCTTGAAAATATATTCTTTAAGAAATCCGCGCCTTGTGTAGGTCCTTGAAAAAATATTCTTAAAGATATCCACGCCTTGTAAAGGTCCTTGAAAAAATATTCTTTAAGAAATCCACGCATTGTGTAGGTCCTTGCAAAAATATTCTTTAAGAAATCCACGCCTTGTGTAGGTCCTTGAAAAAATATTCTTTAAGAAGTCCACGCCTTGTGTAGGTCCTTGAAAAAATATTCTTCAAGAAAGGTCTTTGAAAAAATATTCTTCAAGAAAGGTCCTTGAAAAAATATTCTTTAAGAAATTCACGCCTTGTGTAGGCCCTTGAAAAATAATCTTTAAGAAAGGTCCTTGAAAAAATATTGTTTAAGAAAGGTCTTTGAAAAAATATTCTTCAAGAAAGGTCCTTGAAAAATATTCTTTAAGAAATTCACGCCTTGTGTAGGCCCTTGAAAAATAATCTTTAAGAAAGGTCCTTGAAAAAATATTCTTTAATAAATCCACGCCTTGTGTAGGCCCTTGAAAAAATATTCTTTAAGAAAGGTCCTTGAAAAAATATTCTTTAAGAAAGGTCCTTGACAAAATATTCTTTAAGAAAGGTCCTTGAAAAAATATTCTTTAAGAAATCCACGCCTTGTGTAGGCCCTTGAAAAATATTCTTTAAGAAAGGTCCTTGACAAAATATTCTTTAAGAAAGGTCCTTGAAAAAATATTCTTTAAGAAATCCACGCCTTGTGTAGGCCATTTGAAAAATATTCTTTAAGAAATCCACGCCTCAGTTGGCCCTTGAAAATTATTCTTTAATAAATCCAGACCTTGTAGGTCATTGAAAAAATATTCTTTAACAAATCCTCGCTTTGGGAAGTCTTTGGAAAAATATTCTTTATATATATTCTTTATTCTTTATTTATATTAAAATCGAAGTATTTGGATAGTCCTTAAAAATATTCTTTCGATAGCCTTAAAAAAATATTTATTTTTCTCAATCGTTGTTATTTTTCTTCCTTTATTTCTTCTTTAGGGAAACGAGCCCGCCATCTAGTGGCTGCCGCCTGGATTGTCTCTGCCTTATTTTCCCTCCCTATTTTGATGCTGTACGAAGAAAAACTGGTACAAGGCCAAACACAATGTTGGATAGAATTAGGTTCACCATTATCGTGGCAAATTTACATGGGCCTAGTGTCGGCAACATTGTTCGCCTTTCCTGCTCTTATCATCTCCGCCTGTTATGCCATTATCGTTAAGACGATATGGGCTAAAGGTTCCATCTTTGTGCCAGCTGAAAGGTCAGGATTTGGCAATAATTCGGCGACAACGACAACACGGAGGGCGAGTAGCCGTGGCATTATACCTCGGGCCAAGGTGAAAACGGTTAAAATGACATTCGTCATTGTCATCGTTTTCATTGTTTGCTGGTCACCGTACATTATCTTTGATTTGCTGCAGGTTTTCGGTCATATACCGCAGACACAAACAAATATCGCAATCGCAACGTTTATACAAAGTTTGGCACCGCTCAATTCCGCCGCAAATCCATTGATTTATTGTCTCTTTTCGTCGACGGTATTTAGGACATTAAGGTAAGAAAAAAAAGATAAGTAAAATGGCGAACACAATGAAATTGCATTAATGTGGTTATTTAATCGCAAATTTTCTTTTCTTCGTTTTGTTTTTCCTTTTTTCTCTTATTTTCTACAGCCGCTTTCCTCCCTTCAAATGGTTCACCTGCTGCTGCAAATCCTATCGCCATAATTCCACCACAAACCGTTGCCACACCGTTGGCCGCCGTTTGCATAACAGCTGTGATTCCATGCGCACCCTTACCACTTCGTTGACCGTTTCGAGACGTTCGAACAAGGGTACCACCCGCGTGGTGATATGCGAACGACCCAAATCAAATTCTTTACATCATAATGCCATGTCAGAGGTATGATAGCAGCAGCATTGTGCGCGTTGTTCCAGTGTCATTTTGTATCGTTCGACGCGCTTCACTCCGATGGAATATCTTTAAGTTATCGGAATGATATGGAGATCTTTTTGTTTTTGTAGATTTTAAGTTTTTCGTTAAGGATAAGTAAAATTGTTTCTGTGGTAATACCTTAAAGGAAGAGGAACCATTTGGCTCAAGATAATGATTTAGGGGGCGAATAAGATGAAAAGGCTTCAGATATCTGAATTTTGGCTTTAACCGCCACAATTGTCTTCTCTAAGAAAATGAAATACCAAATTACTAAAATCGTTCCTGAAGTGGTTCGCTTTGTAAAAGGAACTAGGTCATGCATATAGTTCCATAGTTCAATTTATTTCCATCATACTTTGATATACGTCGTTAATTAGCGCCATGAATGAGAAGATCTCAGTGCAGGAACTAGATGAACTAGAGCAAAAAGTAACGACTGGAGCAAAAGGAAATAGATGAACGAAAGCACCGGACCTAGTTCCGATTGTTCCTTTTGCGAAATAGTTTAGCTGAACACTAGTTCCTTCCGGAACGAAAGAACCTTGTGTGTTATGCTCTCGCCCATCTAGTTCCTGTTGAAAAAATTATTCATTTAGAAGTTCTCGTTAAATAAAGGTGGCCAGTTCTGTCTATTTTCTACCGATGATTGTAGAAGATTTTTTTACCCACCAAGAATCCGAAAAGTCATATTACAGCTTCTTCGTTCGGGAAATGCTTCAAATAACGAAAATGAGGCCGTTTCGTTATAAGGACACTATAAGGACACTATACGTCGTTAATTAGGTCCATGAATGAGAAGCAAAAGGAAATAGATGAACGAAAATGAGGCGGTATCGTTATATGGACACTATACCAAATGTGGAACTATATTGACAATTTTCGGCATCTCAGGTTGAAAATGGACCTGAAACCTTACAAATACCAAAAAACAGACTTTACCGTTATATGGAAGCTATACCAGAACTTGGATCGATATATTTCCATTACCAAATATTCTAGGGTAGTGGCTACCTATGTGCAAAATTTCAATGCTTTATCTTTAATAATGCAATCTAAAATGACAGGTAGACCCATTCTTAGCTACACGTTGCCTCACCGATATGTTTGTTTGAAATCTGTTATGGGCGTTTATTTATGTTTTCTCTTCATTACAAACACTAAATGCCAAATTTGTTATGGCCTCCAAAATACTCAAATTTCTGACATTACTTCCATATATTCTCCAGCACGATTTATACGCTTTTTCATACGTTAAAGCCGAACCCTTTGCCATTCCGTTTCAGACACCTCATTCAAAGCTTCAATAGCATCTTTTGGCATCGGAAATCATTGACCAACCATGGTTTTCATGACGTCCGGGAATAAAATGTAATCATTGGGTGTCAAGTCAGGGCTGTACGTCGGAAGACCCATCAACGGTCAAAAAGACGGTAGTTAGAGTCGATATGTGAGAGCTCACATTGTTCTCTTGTTCGTTTTTCGAATTTGTCCGATGACCTCAAATCCCCAGAGTTTTTCAGATGACATTTCCATATAATTGATAAACCAACTATGGTATCGACATCAACATATGAGGATGACCGAAATTAGCGCCACCCAGAGGAAAATGACAACAGTAAAAAATTAGCAAGGACCCCAACCACTGCAATAATTTTAGGAGGCGTTGTTTCCAGACAACGATAGATGGTAGCTCCATCACCTAGAACAGGTTACAGCTGATCAATAATCTACTTAACGAAATAATCAATTAAGATGGCGATGCTTTGTGGAAGCCCGACGTATCACATTTGTTTTTGAAATTGCTTTGAATACTTCAGACCAACAAATTGTGGTGTACCAGTCACAAAGTGGTTGTGGAGTGGATTGTTTGCAGACTACAAACCGAAGTTAAAATCCCATAAAATAAAAATATATTTTTCCAAAGAGCTATTCAAATATTTTTAAATAGATAAATGCATCCGAAGCCCCTGTCATTCAAGGAGACTTTGTATCTAGGCACCGATAGATGGCAGCCATATCACAAAGGGGTTGTGAATGGCATGGTACAGTGGATTGATATAAATGCATCCGAAGACCTTGCCATTCAAGGAGGCATTGTTTCTAGGCAACTATAGATGGCAGCCATATCACTTAGCGTAACACAAAATAAGAATGACAGGATGTAGCGCCACCCCTATAAAAATGGCAACACAAAATAAGCATGAAAACTAGCCACTCCACAAAATCCAATGCGGAGTTGTTTCTAGGCAAACATAGATGTCAGCACCATTACCTACAGCAAAGCAATTATCTACTAAGCTGGACCGAAAACAACAATGAGAACCAAACTAACACAAGGCTCTCAATATTTAAGATCGAGTTTTGAAACGTTGCATATATATTGTTACTTCCCATACGTTGTTTGCTATTTAAAATCGGTCGGTTCGCGTGTAGCTTCACTATATAAATAACCCAGACGGGCAATTCGCATAGATCGAGTTTTTGAGTATTGTCAAAATCCTGATTTTGGGTTTTGACGGCGCAACAACTGCTGGTTGGGATTTGGTGGGTTGTGTTGGAGAAGGGCTATACTCCTCAATTCTCCTGATTTATTAGAGATTCCTGACGTCATTTTCCCAGTCGTTGAATGTTCAACTTGAATCACCTTACACCTAAATAACCCAGAAGGGCAAATTCGCCATAGATCGAGTTTTTGAGTTATGACGTGATTGAGGGGTTTTGGCTATACTACAAGCCGACTTAGACACTCACGTACGTTCCTTGATAATGGTGCCTCCTGATTTATTACAGATTTCTGACGTATTTTTCCCAGCCGTTGCATGTTTAACTTGAATCACCTTACATTCCAATTGGGAATTCTTTCAGTTCAGGGATCGCTCGCAATACCATTCAGATAATTACTCGTGAACATCCGAATAAATTTGAGGTACCTCTTGATATGAATGAATTGAAAATTATTCATTGCTTCAACAGTTACCCTGGTAGCATCGGCTGGTCACTTGATGCCATTGATTTGGAGATCCATCTCACCCATAACCTTTGATGATTCACCATGATTTAAAGAAGTCACCTGAATGACATTTGTGTTGACATGGAAAAACGCTTACTAAATTGGATCGAGGAGAAGATCTGGCTGTCTCTCTAGGATCGCGATAATCTCATTGAGTGTAATGGGGTTGTGAGGGCGGAAAGAAAGGCTATGGTTCCTCTCAATGGGTGTAGAATTGGTCGTTGGAACTGCGCTTGTAGAGGTCGAGACTAAGGGTGTCAAAGGATGTCTGTAATGATCCTATTAGGATGAAATTTGGCTCAGCTCATTTGTTTGGCTCAAGTACAAACCCTAATGAAATTGGGAAAAATCGGTTCAGATTTAGATATAGCTCCCATATATATCTTCGCCCGATTTAATGTAATTGGCGTACCAAAATCCCTATATATGTTTCGATTTGCACGAAATTTGGCATAGCGTACCGAATTAAGTCTAGAATGATGTGTGCAAAGTTTCGTGAAAATCGGTTCAGATTTAGATATAGCTCCCATATATATTTTCATCCGATTTAAAGTAATTGGTGCACCAAAGACCATATATATCTTTCGATTTGCACGAAATTTAGCATAGCGTACTGAATTGCGTATTTACTAATGTATGCTAAGTTTCATGAAAACCGGTTCAGATTTAGATATAGCTCCCATATATATTTTCATCCGATTTAAGGTACTTGGTGCACCAAAGGCCCTATATATCTTTCGATTTGCACGAAATTTGGCATAGCGTACTGAATTGCGTCTTTAATAATGTGTGCTAAGTTTCATGAAAATCGGTTCAGATTTAGATATAGCTCGCATATATTTTTTTTTGTCCGATTTAAGGTAAATGGTGTACCAAAGTCCCTATATATCTTTCGATTTGCACGAAATTTGGCATAGCGTACTGAATTAAGCCCAGAATGATGTGTGCAAAATTTCGTGAAAATCGGTTCTGATTTAGGTAAAGCTCCCATATATAATTTCGTCCGATTGAATGTAAATGATGCACAAAAGTCCGAATATATTTTTCGATTTGCACGAAATTTGGCACAGCGAACTGAATTTCGTCTAGAATAATGTGTGCTAAGTTTCGTAACGATCCGTTCAGATTTAGATATATCTCCCATATATATTTTTGGCCTATGTTACATAAATGTTGCACCAAACTGTTTGTCCTATTAACGCGAAATCAACGTATCAAAGACTTGAATGACGTTATTAGGTTTTGTTGAAATTGGTGCAGATCTAGCCATAGCTTCCATATGTATTTCGAACTGGTGTCTGATTGAGATTAAATTTTTAATAGTGCGGCGTACCGAATAGCATGTATCAATTTTGCTATAAATTTTTCCCATAAATATGTCCCATGATACGCATACGACTCTAAATCTGCCAAATTAAATTAAATTTATCAAAGGTTGCAGAAAGACATGAAATATGTTCATTCGAGGTATGTTGGTTCGAAGAAATAATGTCATCATATTTATTTTTTTTAATTTTATACAAGAAATTTCAAAAAAAAAACAAAACAAAACCAGTAAAGAAAGTAGTAAAGTCGGACTGTGCCATATGCACAATATTCCCAAGTGGTGAAGAGTATCACATAGTCGGCCCAGTCCGAATGTTTTTTTTTTTTTTTTTTTTTTTTTTGAAATTTCTTTTATAAAATTTAAAAAAATAAATATGATGACATTATTTCTTCGAACAAAAAACAAATATTTTTCTTCAATATCTCGTTTTGTTGTCGCTGTAATTTACAATCCGCTTCACAGACTTGTGTGATTTTGATATCATTTGATTCATCGTGGTGTTTAGATTATGTAGATGTTTTTAAATTAATTTTTAGGTTGATACATGCCATTAATATAATGAAAATAATGACAAAATCCCCTATATTTTTATTATTTTTCTCATATTATGATAATAGCTGAATATTCAGATTTTACGAAGGAAGATATATACATATCTACGTTTTTGGTCAATATAATAAACCGCGTAATTTTAAGATTTTTTTCTTATGCCCAAAA